TAGGAAGTTGATGGTTTTTAATTAATTGATATTTAAATTATTTTATAACGATTTGATACTTAAATATGGAAAAACACTTAATATGGTATCTATTATCTAATAACATTTAATGACACTAATATGTTTATATTAATTACTTATTTAATACACCATATATATATATATATATAGAAATTTTAATTTAAATATGAATTCAACAGAAAAGTATTCATATAGTAATTTAAAATATTCTCTTGACTCCAGTATCCAAAACCGATCGCATGCCGTCCACGTGCCAATTTAATAAGGAAATAAATATTTGAAAGGCAAAAGAAATATTAAAAGATCACACCTTTCATGACTGGATCAAGAAGTTTCGAGCTTTATTCAAGTCACCGACCGGTCCAACCCGGTCCCTCACTTTTTTTTGGTTTAGCCATCGTTATATTGTTTGTTGGCCACTACCATAAATTAACACTCGGCTCTGTCATCCACTTGCAACTCTTGCTTATTATCATTCTCACCCAACTCGGAACTCAATAAGCTCACTCTTATTCCGTTCTAATGGCTGCTTCTTCTCTACCTTCTACTTCTCTTCATCTGCAGTTTGTCTCATCGAAAAAATCATCATCAAAGGCGGCGACCACTTTAACGTCGCGTCGGGTTGTGGTTCGGCGTATTAGAGCCTCGGTGTCGGAGAAACCATACGTGGCTGAGCCGGCGGTTGTCGTTTCAGATAATGGCGAAGCCAAGCTTCCCGTTAAGAAAATCCCGGGTAATTATGGGGTTCCTTTTGTTGGTCCATTCAAAGATCGACTTGATTATTTCTACAATCAAGGTCGAGATGAGTTTTTCAAATCGAAAATCCAGAAATATCAATCAACGGTGTTTCGAACCAACATGCCACCCGGCCCTCTCATCTCTCAAGACTCAAAGGTTGTTGCTTTGCTCGACGGCAAGAGTTTTCCTGTTCTTTTCGATGTCACCAAGGTTGAGAAGAAAGACCTTTTCACCGGCACTTACATGCCGTCAACTGACCTTACCGGCGGCTATCGAATCCTCTCGTATCTCGACCCTTCCGCCCAGCACGCCCAGCTCAAACAACTTATGTTTTTTCTCTGAAATCCAGGAGAGATCAAGTAATCCCCCAGTTCCAAGCCTCTTACGGTGAGCTATTTGAAACGTTAGAGAAAGAACTCGGTGAGAAGCAGAGAAGCAGTTTTCCGACGGCTAACGATCAAGCTGGGTTTAACTTCTTGTGTCGGGCTTTCTTAGGTACGAACCCAAGAGATACAAAACTAGGAACCGATGGTCCAATTTTGATTAGTAAATGGGTTCTGTTTCAACTCGGTCCGGTTCTTTCTCTTGGTCTCCCTAAATACGTTGAAGAGCTCTTAATCCACACTTTCCCCCTCCCTCCGGCTTTGGTTAAAAAGGATTACCAGAGTCTCTACGAGTTTTTCTACGAATCATCTGGTTTCTTTCAAGATGAAGCTGAGAAAATGGGTATTTCAAGAGAAGAAGCATGCCATAATTTGTTATTCGCTACGTGCTTTAATTCATTCGGTGGCATGAAAATCTTCTTCCCCAACATGCTTAAATGGATCGGCAGAGCTGGAGTTAAGCTACACACTGAATTAGCAACGGAGATCAGATCAGTCATCAGATCCAACGGTGGGAATCTCACCATGGCCGCCATGGAACAGATGCCATTGATGAAATCTGTGGTGTACGAAGCGTTACGGATCGAACCACCCGTCCCGTTACAATACGGGAGAGCGAAGAAGGATTTCTTGATCGAGAGCCACGAAGCCGTGTTCGAAGTGAAAGAAGGGGAGATGTTATTCGGGTTCCAACCGTTTGCAACGAAAGACCCGAAGATATTCGAGAGATCGCAGGAGTTCGTCGCCGACAGGTTCTTCGGAGACGACGGAGAGAAGCTGTTGAAGCACGTGCTTTGGTCGAATGGACCGGAGACTCAGCAACCGACGTTGGGGAACAAACAGTGCGCCGGCAAGGATTTCGTGGTGTTGATGTCTAGGCTTTTGGTGGTGGAACTGTTTAGGCGTTACGATTCCTTCGAAATCGAAGTCGGCAAGTCGACGTTGGGGGCAGCCGTTACGGTCACATCCTTGAAGAGAGCAAGTTTTTAAGACAAAGAAATCTTATGTTTCTGTCATTTGGTAACGTTAATATTTAATTTTCCCTTTTCTTATACAGTTAGTTTATAAATTTTTTTTCACCACTTATCATGTGATTTATAGACAAGCAAACCTTAATTTCAGGTGAAAGTAAAGGTTTGGTACAAATAATAAGACAAAAGAGAAAGATTAAAAATTATTAAAACGCAAGTAAAAGAACTAGACTAAAGGTTGCACCACTTATACAGTTTCGTTTTTTAAACAAACACTCGCACACCCTCAAGTTGAAGAAAGTCTCGAATCTCTAAAAATAGTAATTTTTGTTTTATTCAGTGTCAGTTTGTTTTACTGAAAATATTTTTCAGTGTTTGGATGGTATATTATAAAATGTTTTATATTATTTGGTTAATTTTTTTTTAAAAATAATTTTTAGAATCTGTTATTAATAAAAAAAGCCTACATATTCGATATGTTTTTATTCTTAAGGTTCATTTTAATTTTTATATAATTATATTTTATAAAAATATATAATTTTATTAGTACGTCAAACTAAATTTTTAGATAATTTATAATTTATGTTGATTGTGTTATAATATACTATTTTAGGTTTAAAATCTTCATGATGCTATTCATGTTGTTTTTTAAAATGAATTTCAAAATAATTAATATTATGTAGGGTTATTTGAATTAATATTAATAATTGATTAAAATATATTATAAAAGTTTATAAATGAGTGTCAAAATATAATTAAAGGAGTTAACACATTAAAACAAAAATATATCCAACCGTAATATACAGTGATATATGCATCAAATTAAATCCCTAAATCATAAGACATTAAAACAAAAAATAATATCCAACCGTAATATACAGTGATATGCATCAAATTAAATCCCTAAATCATAAGATATTACAGTGTGCTCAAACTCACAACAGGATTTTTTTTAATAGAGAAAATTGGAGGTTAAATAATGAACATTTGCACTGCATTGCAATAAAAGCAGCAGATTTAGAATTCCTTCTCACTAAAATTACACAATTTATTTATCTATTTTAACTATTTTAACATGAATTACTATATATCTAAATCAAGGTGAAAAAACATTTCTCGAATAATCGATGAATGATAAGAATTTATCATAATGATCTGTCATGCTTTACAACATGTGTAAAATCCCAAAACCTTCACCATGAATTCCTTCATGTTTCACATGTAAGCAATTGTTCAATCAAATACTGGGACTTGGAACTAAACTGGAACTTTCCAACTCCCATATGTCCTTAGATACCTGCAATTCAAACCTCAAGTCCTTCGATACCTCAACTTCTTGGTTAAGATCTTCAGTATGAGGATCTTTTAGAATTACACCTGCAATTCAAACCTCAAGTCCTTAGATACCTCAACCAAAGAAATACAGCATGTGATTAGAAGCAAACAAGCATGCATGCTAAAATAAAACTTGCATGAATGCGTTTTTTTTCAAGATATCCATATTTGTAATAGAACACCATAGGCATTCCCAAGCAACTTCAATTGAGAACGATGAAGAAGAATGAGATGTATTCATAAGGAGAAAAACCTCAAAAAAGGACTAATCAAGGTTGAATGTTTCCAAAAATCATAGTGCAAACAAGTTAGAACACCAAGACAAAAGTGTATGCATTAGGGAGAACAATATGATTAAAGAAGATCCATATAAAGAAACCAAAAACATCAACCACAAACATACTGCTACATTTGCCAAGGAAATATCACAATTGAATTCAAATGCAAAGATCCATAATGGCAATTGAAAAAAAAAATAGAAGATAAACACATAATACATAGAAGCCTTGGAAAAAGTTGCAAGGTGTTATTATATGAATTGACACGACAATAGCATAAAGTGAAAAGTCGCATAACAGATAAATTGAACGTTGTTCTGAATGAAACACAACACCATATCTTGTTTTACCTCCATCAAACAAAGTTCATACAATCAGAGCAACATCTATGTAACATGCATACAGGTATACATTAATTTTAAAATCTAATTTGTGGGGTCGAGAGAAATACATGCTCTTTTCAAAACCTGCCTTAGAGAGGTCACCCTGCTCTAGTGCATATCTATCAGGACGTAGACGAGAATCTGATGCTAATAGCTTCTTGGGAGCAGTATCAAAGCTGTTAATCTTATGCGCAAAATATGTGTACTGAAATTTATCATTTTTCAGAGCATCAACAAGTCTCCACGACTGCATAACAGCAACAGAATAATGACAAGCAGATCATTATCATACGCAATTATCTTAGAATCTATTCATCGATACCAACACTAAACCTTAAAAATATGCTGAAGTTTACTTTCATCGATATCAAACACTACAAAATGATAACCCAAACAAGTTCAATTTTATAAGATGAGAGGCATCCTATAAGATGATGTTTCCAAAGAAGATGATTTGGTGGGAAACAGAAAAATTCAAGTTTATGTATGATAGCCACAGAGTCTCAGAAAGATCAGAATGCATATAAACAAGTTCTTCCCTCCCCATTGCAGTGTTCTTGTATTGAAGGGCATATGCAATTTGAAAGAAAGAAAAAAGTCAATGCTAAATGCACAACAACTCAAATATTAAAAAATTTGTTGAACTTTTCAACCTATATTCAACTCAAATACAAGTCGAAAATTCTTCAGCAAAAATAAACCGAACTGCAAGAAGAGACCTTTACATAAAAAATGAGAAATTATTGTAATTTCCACAAACTATTAATGTTGCTTCTATTAGTTTATAAAACACGTTAATGATGTATTTTTTTACATTATGAAATTGAAACACTAAAACAAGAAGTACGAATAGGCCTTAAAAAGTTAAGAAATAGATCATGTTTTACCTTCCAAGAGGATATACATCAATTGAATTTCCCAAAAACTTGGTTTTCACTTTAGATGAATTATCATAAATGAAAGGCTCTTTTTCAGCATGACCAGCACTCATTGGGGGTGATGACTAACCTGAAAAAGGGGAAAATGTCTAATAAATACCTTAAACAGAAGCCAAACAGATAAATTATGCAGAAAAAAGTGCTAGAAGAGCCCAAAACATTAAAAGGGGAAAAAATGAACCCAAACTCAGGTCTAAAAGACCCACTTGTTCAGCTAGAAAAGTAATGCCACCATGATTAACCATTTCATAAGTCTCCCCAAGTATGGGATTGAATGGTTTCCAGGTACGTTGATAGGCATAATAGACAAATATAGCCCATGAAGCTGCAATTAGCTACCATCAGTCACCTATTTAAACTTAAGAAAGAGAAGTTAGAAGAAACTTTACTAGTGTACACTAATCGCATGTAAGGATCTTCGTATTCATCAGCCAGATCTACCAGGTATGAATACTACATTATCTGTCACAGAACGAAATTGATAAATGATAAAACCACTAACAAAAAAGAACCAAACACAACAAATAACTTTAAAGCAGTGGTTGGATAGGAAAACACAAACCTCAACCATTTTCTGCAACAATGACATTGGCTCAAAAATAAGAACTAAACAAACAGATCACACCAGGAGAATAAATTTAATACGAAAATGAACAAATAAACGAAATCCACAACAAGAGAGTCATATACAGAACAAACCCAAAATTAAAGCGATAATAAGAAGAAAGGGAACCGACCCGGCTTCCAAGAGCAATGGAGTACCCGACCATTTAGCCCGAATCGCAACTTGAACGTTCTTCGGCCTTTGATTTTAAGCTCCAACAAAAGCGAAACCACAAATTAATAAACAAGTAAGGAGGAACAAAACGCAAAAGCGAGATCTGAAAGGTGTATCCATTTGGATAAAATGAAAGTATATATTTCCCCAATCGATTTTCTATATGATTTCAAATGGAATTACATCCGACATTGATGAGTTAGATATCAGGCTTCGGGGAGAAATGAAGGGAAGGGAAGGGAAAATGAATTACCGTTTACAAAACGTGAAGTCATTTTCCCGTGTTTTGGTTTGAGTTTTCAGTTGACCGTAAAACAAATTACATTGACTTTATTGTTTTACGGGAACCAAACACGGGAAAACGAAATTTTTTTTTCCGTAAAATGTTTTCTCCAAACCAAATGGACTCTTAGTTTTATAGATTTTTAACGGTTTCATAGAAAATTAATTCTAAGAAGAAAAAAATGTAAATGCTTTGAAATCAAACTTAAACTTGAATTTAGAATCCCTTCTCACTAAAATACATATTTTTATAAAATATAATTATATAAAAAGTTCAAACTATTTAAATTGGTTCGCTACCAGCAGCAGTCAAAAAAATGCAATGCTACCAGCAGCAGTCAAAAAAGTGCAATGCTAAGTGAATCTTTTAAACGTTTGGTGGTGCAAACTACCTATGATGGAACTTGGTAATATCTTGGAGCAATTTAAAACTTTAAAAAATTAGAAGTTTAAATTAAAATATTTGAAGGGTTCTCTTTACATTTTGTTTTCTAAAAAAATTAGGGTTTAACTAAAGTTTTTGAAATTTAGAGATGCTTAATGAGAATTTTTTAAAATTATGGAAGGAAGTTTAATTAAGAGCATTAGAAAATTTTAAAGTTTAATATGAATTTCTAAAAATTTTGAGGGAACCAAATTAAATTTTTTGATAACTTTAAAGGTCTAAATTATAATTTTTAAATTTGAGGGCATGGCCCCACTAGTCCTCTTATGTTCTGCCACTAAAAATGATATCGTCTTAAACAACAATAAACATACTAAAACGATGTCGTTTTATTAATATCGTCACTATCATAACGTCTCTCTCGGGAATTCGTTAGACTTAAAAATTATTTAATTTGAGGAAGGCGATGAAATATAACTTTGAAAACAAACTGATTTTAGAATCGCCACCAACCTTTAAGTTAGGTAGGTTAGAAACCTTAAACATCATTTTAATGAGTTTAGAAAAATCATTAAAAGACAACAAAATGATATGCGTTTTACCAAAAAAATCATTTTTAAGAGTTCGGGAGTCGATTACGTGTGGGAAAGGGTGAACACCCCCATAACGCCCAAGTTTGGTATCTAAACGATTATATGATGTTTAAATGTTGGGAAATTTACAAATTTAAAAACGTATTTAAATTACGATCCTTCTATTTATTCGAATTTATATAAAAAGATGTCAATTTCTTACACTAAAACAACATTACTTTCCAAAAAGAAATACAAATTTGATAACA